ACCTATACGATCCCTCTCCCAACCTCCCCCATCCTTCTGAAATGCTCCCAGTTCCTCCAATCACCAAACACGATCACTTTCCTTGGCCCATATTCTGCTCGACTCTTTTGAGCCACCTCAGACTCGATGTGATCAAGGCTAAACTGACCACCTGGCTCCCTGTCAGCTCCCACCTGCTGCCTCCTTCCCCAGTCAGGCCACAACCTCCCAACTGTGACTGCCCCGAAAGAGTTCTCAAGTCCACTTCCTCCCACATGCTCACATCTGGGTCACCTGCTTTCTCCCTCTCCGTTGCCATGACAGTGTCCTGTCCAGGCTCCAAGGCTCCCTGACACAGGCCACCAGGGTCCTGGCCACCCTCCCTGTTGCTGAAATACCTTCTCAGTCCCTTGGCTAAGAAATAAAACGCACATATTTTAGCTTGAGATATAAGCTCTATAGGAACTGACCCCAGCCTTCATTTCTAAGCCTCCTCATCATCCCTTCTTCCTTCATTTTCTATATTTCACATTTTCTCTGAACTCTGGGAGAATGCACAATTCCCAGAACCTGACCTGCATGTTCTCCTCTCCATGCCAGAATCAGGCCAGTCCATCTACTTGTATGTTCAATATTGTCTTTATTTGTTTGTTCAGTCACTAAGTTGTGTCTGACTCTTTGCGACCCCATGGACTACAGCACACCAGGCTTCCTTGTTCTTCGTTATCTCCTGGAGTTTGCTCAAATTCATGTCCATTGAATTGGTGATGTCTTTACTTACTCAAATCTTATTATTTTTTTTTTTTCAAGACTTGGTAAAGATGCCATTTTGTCCTATTTCCTTAGCTGCAAGTTATTCATGGCTCCTCTGAACCCCTACAATTCAAATATGCTCATTTCTTTCTTGTTTATTCTTATCTCACATTCTCTTACATCACAGTGACCTGTGTATTTATTTGCCTCATTGTCCCCATTAGATCTCACGGACAGTGATGATACTAATAACTGTCATAACAACTAGTATCATAGTGAGTTCCTACCACAGTCCAGTTCTGTGCAAAGCACGTGATTTCTCCATCTCAGCAACCCACTGAGGACTGTCTCCATTTTCAGCTGAGATTAACTAATGTGCTCAACGCCAGCATGTAGTAAGTGATGGAACTAGAAACTGAATTGAGGTCTGCTGAGGTCAAAAGCCATGCTCTTAACTACTATATAGTATTCCTCACTATCTTTACTCGACCAGTAACTGCTCAATAAAGCACGTTCTTCCTAGGACCTCAGAGGTGCGATGGTTTACTGAGCTAGGTTCCTCAGAATTGCTGAGGCTGCTCAATGAACACATACATTTATGTGAGAGAAGAAACAGTTTAGGTTCCCTTAAAGGATATTTTCAAAAATAGAGAAAATTTTTATGCCTCCAAGATTAAATAGCAAATCACATACAAAATGAGAGGAAAAACCTAATTCACCTGTATGAGGTAAATGCCTGATTCTGTCTCCTTCCTTGGAACCACTGATGTCAGTAATGCAATGCATCAAGGCCACCCTAAAAGCCTTCAATAATTTAAACCATGTTTAGAGAGAGCCTCCAAATATCTAATTTCTGAGGCTCTGACATCAGCCCCAGGAAAGCAGGACACTTTTACTATGTTAATAGAGTCAGAACCAGTGTAAATGTGGGCTCATTGTTTTGCCTACGAACATAAAGGTAACGTATGACACACTTGGGTCTCTGTGTAAGGAAAAGTGGTGATGGTTGATCTCTATGTGTAAGCGGCTAAGGGCTGTAATCCTCCAAGAGGAATGTCATTATACAGCTCAAATCCCATCACAACAAACACTGTTACAATAGAGATGTCTGTATAACAAAAACCCTTCCAAGCTTTGGCTGACAGCCCATGTACTTCAAGCAATATTTGATGTGAGACCTGGAGTTCACAGTACTGGGAACTGACCTATATTTGCAAAGGTAAGACCTGAATGATTTCAGCTGTGACTTCTATCCCATGATGCCACGAGTTGCAGTGATGTATAATCTCAAGCCAGGAGTACAAAAACTAAGGACAAAGACAGGAGCAAAATCAACCCTGTTCTTGAAGGGCAAAATTCCTGTCTTTCACTTGGGGACCCCTTAGAGAAAGGACCTCTGACCCAATCCTGAAATAAAACAGACCCAGGGCTTCCCCAGTGGCACAAGCAGTGAAGAATCTGCCTGCAAAGCAGGAGACCTGGGTTTGATCTCTGGGTCAGGAATATACCCTGGAGAAGGGAATGGCAACCCACTCCAGTATGCTTGCCTGGGAAATCCCATGGACAGAGGAGCCTGGCAGGCTATAGTCCATGGGGTTCCAAAGAGTCGGACATGACTGAGAGGTTAACACACTTTCACTTTCAAGGCTGGATGTGGCCTCATCTCATTGAGAAGTGAGATGGAGTGGCCCGTGAAGACAGATGAACTGGGCTCAAATTTCTACTCTGATGCTTACTAACTGGGTAAACTAGGCTATATCTCTTAGTTTTCTGTGATCCTCATTTTTCTCATCTGTAAAATGTGACTAGGACCATCTGCTTTCAGGATTCCAGTAAGAATTAAATGAGATAACTATACAAAGCTCTTGGAGAAGGAAATGGCAATGCACTCCATTATTCTTGCCTGGAGAATTCCATGGATAGAGGAACCTGGTGGGCTACAGTCCATGGGGTCACAAAGAGTCAGACATGACTGAGTGACTTACACACACACAGACAAAGCTCCTAACATAGAGCCTGGTACACAGCATGGGCTGAAAGAAAGTAAGTCCCCTTACCAAGTCTTCCTTTATCTCCAAGACTGTGGGTTGATGCAAACTATTTTAATGAAGTTAGTTAGAAGACTGAGTGAATGAAGTTAAAATATAAAGTCACAAATATAGCCTGATAAAGATACTGCTCAGAGGATCACGGGGAAAAGAGAGCAAAGAGTGTAAGAACTAGGCCAGGCACAGGCACTTACTTGACTTAGAGAAAGGTCTTTTTGGCTAAAGTAGGACATGTATATTCAAAAGCTAAAATGCACGTAACCAGGTGTTGTAACAATAAAGCTTTGATGATTGTGTCAGAAGTCATTTTGAAAAATGCTGAATAAACTAAAATTTGTAGGCACATTTTCCTAGTCAAGGATGAACTGTGGTTACTGACTCCTAAGCACCGGTTTACTGCCTACGGCCTAGTTTTCTGTGGGGGCTATTCTAGAAGGTGGGAGGGCTCTTCTTAGCTAAGTCCTCAGCTTCAGCCCATTCATTATACTGTCTCTGGATACTGTAAAAATATTAAAATACATTCTAGTTTTCTTCATTTGGGAAATATGTCAGTAAAGAGTTTAGAAATATGATCAATATTAGGGACATGCCCTATTTGTGATATTTTAACCCTTTTGACTTTGAGATACCTAATTTATATTTTTCAAATTATGGGACAATCAAGTATGTGGTGACAAAATTCTTATGTACATTCTTTTGAAAACACTCTTGGTGTTATGTGACAGTTCTTAAGATAGAAAAGTGATCTAGGGGGTTTTACTTTGGTTACCTAATGCAAAGAGCCGACTCATTGGAAAAGACCCTGATGCTGGGAAAGATTGAAGGCAGGAGGTGAAGGAGACTAAAGAAGACAAGATGGTTGGATGTCATCACCCACTCAATGGATATGAGTTTGAGCAATCTCTGGGAGATGATGATGCTGGGAGGCCTGGCATGCTGCAGTCCACGGGGTCACAAAGAGTCAGACATGACTGAGCGACCGAACAGCAACAAGAAGGGGTTTCAAAATTTCTCAAACATTTCCAAAAAGTCCTCTCAGACCTCAGCAACTGGAGGGAAAGAGATGGCCCAACGTTTCTCGGAGTCAGAACGTCAGAGTTCCAACAGTGACTTAGTAGCTCTTTGCCTTGACAGTAAGGAAGAGGCTCAGAGACGAGAATGGGCTGACAAGTTCATGTGTTCAACTCAAGCGTGTGCTCAAGCCATACACTTAGCTTACAGGAGCTCTTATAAGAGGAAGCAGGGAAAAAAGGTACCAAGCCGGACAGAAGTACCTAAGTGCAGGGAAACAGCAACTGTGAGACTCACCAAGAGATAAGGGAGCCCTGAGTAGGAAGACCAAGAGATCCAGAAGAGAGAAACAATTATCGAAGCGGGGTGAAAAGATGGACAGAGGACAGATGGTAGCAGCCGAGGAGACACTGTAAATTCCTTTCTACACAGAGCTCACAATGGGTAACTCCAATATCCAGAAGCTTCCACCTGGACAGACGTTGCCAGCCTCTGTTTAAGAAGGGTGCCTCCCTCCCCATCACCCTCACCTTAAAATGGAGGCAGTGACAGCCTCCAGATTGCACACGTGAATCTTACCACTGCTAAGGGCGTAAACCACAAGCATTTCTGAAGGTGCGCTAACTATTTCAGGCCACTAGGGTGCTACTTCCCTCCCCAAAGACACACTTCATTTAATGATCTCCATCTAGACCCCAAGAATTAATGTCCCTCCTAGAAGTGTACCCTTTATTCCTTAACGCCAGTGCTTATTGCTGTTTATAGGGTACTTCAAGATCCCCAAAGGCTACGGGAAAAGTGAAATGCAATTGTAATTACATGGGCAGTAACAGAAAAGTGGGGGGGGGGGGTGGTTAGAAAGAGCTCCTGAAATGCAAGGCTAAGAAACACTATTCCTCTGGGAGGCCAGCCACTCTGCCCAGAAGAGCCTGCGCTGCCTAGAAAGTGACCTCAGGGAGGAATCACGCGCCTGGAGAGAGGCGCGGCCACCCCCTGCTCCTCCCTCCCTGCATCCCAGGCCAGCCGGTCCACCTGTCCGGGAGGCAGGCGGGGGCGCTGGGAGGAGCCCCATTGGCCACGGGGCACAGGGGCAGCGGGGCGGGTCTTTCTCGCCCTCCTCCCTTCCCGTGAATAACCAGGACCCCCACCCCCACCCCCACAGGCCCGGACTGCACGCCCCTGACCCCGCGCACGCCCTGCTGTCTGTACCTTTACTCTGGGGAGGGTTCTGACTCCGGTCCCGGAGGACGTTGATCTGGTAGACGGCTCCGTAAGGCTCAAAAAGTTCTTTCAGCTCCTTTTCTGACCAGGACCGGGGGATCTGTCCGACAAACATCTTAATGGCATCTGGGTCTGGTTGGTCTGAGTGATCCAAAGCGCCGTTCATCTTGTTGGCTGTGCCGTTACTGTCAAAAAGGGAAGCGGGAGCCAGAGTTAGGGCTGCAGAAAGAGGGACAGGAAGACAAAAAATCGGGGGTGGGTTGGGGGCGGGGAGGCGGAAGGAGGAGGAAGAGGAGCACGGGGCAAAGTGCCTAATGAGTCGTGGAAATGTGATGAACTAAAACAAAGCACAGGCACCATTAGGTTGCTCCTCGGCGGCCGCGGCGCGGGCTCTCACTGCAGACTGCTGTTCGGCACCGCCGCCCGAGCCTGGGGCAGCGCCCCGCCGGCTGTCACCCGGGGCGTGGACATCTTGAAACCCGGCTCGGGAGGCAGCTGCAAGTTAAGTGCAGGTCTCGCTCCGCGAGGCTGCCATCAACGCATCCGCAGCGTTATCAGTCCCACACTGGCTCTCATGTGGAAAGAAAGGCAAGGTTGGATTTCTGCTGCCTCCCCCCCCCCCGCCCCAATCCCTTTTGGGAGGTTTTTGGAAGACAGGAGAGAGGTGGTAATAATAAAGTCACATGAAAAGAAAATGAAACACTTGGCAGTCCGTCAGATGACTAATGCAAGATGCTGGTGATGAATTTGCAGAGCGCGCGAGGCATCCATGTGTGCATCAAATTAGTACGTTGTTGCTGCTCAGAAGAGAAAGTGCTCCAGCAATGCGGCTGGGTGCACCCGATTGGCTGCCCACGCTGGAGAAAAGGGCCCTGGCGGGGAGGGGGGCTCCTGTTTAAAAAGCACATTGTTTATGGGACCCGGGCACAAAGGCTTTAATTCAGAGAGGCAAAGGCGATCTCAGAATTGCCTGCTTTGTGATAGGAGGGGGAAAAAAAAGCAGTCCCAGAAAGTTGAGTTCCCGCTAAAGGACACTGAATATTTCAAATCTTTCACACTCCATAAATTGCTCTCTGTATATCTGACATCCAGATGTTGCACTTGAGTTCTAAACAATCACACGTTTGGGAGAGAAAAGAGGAAAGTCTGCCTTTCCTTCTCCCAGCTTCAATAAATATTTGGGGCCGATACAAAGAGCAAAGACCATAAGCTTTTACATATCAATCTTCCTTAATGCTGTTTTCCAAAACCCTCATTTGAAAGAGAGAATGCTTATTTACAACCTGCAATTCTAGTCACCAACACGTAAAAGGATGATGAAGGCATTCATATTTTACTTGGATCCCCCCACCATTTAAGCTGCAGTAAATAATAAAGCAAAGCCACATACTCTTTTCATCTCCCCCTACCCCCACCCCCTCAATGCTCCCTGAAGCCACCTACTCTGCCAATGACAAGGCTGAATGCCCTGTGCAGCCTTGATTTGCAGTACTAATCCCCAGTCTGTGAAAACATATAAAATGCACTTAAATTCAGCAAACATAGAACCTACAGAGCCATGTTCATGACTGCCCCCCAACCCCAGCCCCTAGCCCAGGAGGCAGAAAGGTCAAGAAATGGCCACATGGACTAAAGCTTCACTGAAAATGGTCTCTTCACTGTAGCCTAGGGTAAGAGTAAGAAGGTTTTCAAAGATCTTAAGTATGTTTCTTTATTTCAGTCAAAACCCCTCAGAGCACCTTAAATTTGCTGCAAAACTAGGCTAGTCCTGAGCCCTTGGGGGAGAAAAAAAGATACTGATGGCTAACAAACAACCGCAGTAAAACTTATGGAAAGGAGAAATTCTGAATTCAATTTAATCCAGAGAGGAACACGATGGTAAATACTCTTCAACTAGGTCCTGCCTTCAATTTCTATTTCTCCTTATCCCCCAATTTACCACTCTACTTTTTTTTTTAATCCTTGAGATAAACAATCAGACTAACTTGAAAGCACTTTCAGAGCTTTCTCTAATCAACCTTATTGTTATAAAAAAAAAAATGTTCTACTGAATACAATATTGAGCACAAAACCTTCCTTCAACAATTTAGGTGTAATGTAACACTTGTTTATATTAGAGCTGGAGCGTTTATCTTCTTCCCATGCACCTCGACTGTTTTTCAAATTGCCCTCTGGGAATTCAATAAACACTTTTAACCCCACAGGGCTGATTCTGGCAAGGAGGAGGTGGCAGAGCCCCACGCAGAACAGAATGTAGTGCTCACAGCTCGTTGAGAGCTGAGAGTGTGGCAAGACTTATTTCTGGGACAGGAAGGGCCTGTGGTTACCGCTGTTGACAATCAGCTAGAATGAAAAGAGGAAGGCGTTGCCACACGGCCCAGCTAACAGAGAACGGAAGTTCAGAAAATGGGGCTCCTGCACCTCCTCTGAACACAGTGAACGCAACAGACGGATCAGGTGGCAGCACACTGGTCCCCATACCTCAACTTAGAATTCTACAGCAAGCATTCTTTCATGGGTCTCCAAACGAGGGGCCATTTCTACTTTCTCAAAAGAGGGACACACTCCCTGGGGTGCATAGGGAGGGACACTGTGAAGAGGGGCTTATGCTTCATCTTTTGGTCTTTATGTTGGTGAGTGTGTGTTTAAAATCCCTTCCCCTCAGTCATCCTTCACAGATGTCTTTAGACCTCTTGTATCCTGATGCAGGCGGGGCTTGGCACTTGGGGTCTGAATCCTGGCACTATCATTTCCTAACTGTGCCGCCCTGGGCCTCAGACTCTTCATCTGTAAGATGGGAACAACAGACTTCACCTCTGTTGAGTCATGTGCTAACTACAGGATGTGGGCCCAAGTTAAAAGTGTCTAATAGGTGTCAGCTGTCGCCACTGTTAATTTTTTCTGTGCACCTGTGATGCATCAGAAATGAGTGATCACTACGAGTCTACTTTTCAATCCAAAGTTTTTCATAGTGTGGACTCAAACACAATTCATATCCTAAGTAATAATAATAGGCATCTTTCAGTGAGCAATTCTATGCCAGAGACCATGCTAGGTGCTTTACATATATTATCTAATCCTTTTGCCATTTCTATGAGAAATTTTTCAGATGCAGATATCTAAGAAATAATTTCCTTTTCTAACATTACCAGTTTATACATTGTAGAAGTAGAATTTGAACATAGGCCCAATGGGCTCCAAAGCACAGAGTATTTTTAAACCATCATGTGGCCAAGTATTGTATAAGGTCTGTTTTGGGCTGTGAGTGAACAGCTTGTGGAAAATCTATGATAAGACAAGGCCAAGAGCAAGACCTACCGGTTCCCTGGAATCATGCTGCCAGATAAAAGGCAGCACTAACAAACACATACACACATCTTTCCTCTTTTGGTGTGTGAGAATCAGGGTTCAAAGCATGGAACTTAAGATTATATTAAGACTATATTATAACCCATACTTTCTCCACAATCATACAAAGCGTCTCCAAGTCCGGAGACTGCCTCCCTTCCTATTCCCACAGGATCCCATGAATGGGCACCTCTCCTCCATACCAGAATCCTTCCCAACTACCTGCCCATTTTGCAAACAAATGTTCCAAATGTCTGCATCAAATGCTAAGAGCATGACTATCCATTAACTAAGTCCAACAATGTCTAGCTGTTACACAAACTCACAGCAAAGGCACATCTTCCTGATCGAAGCATCAGTGGTCCTATCCCATCGATGACCCCTGTGTTGCTGAATCCCATGCCCTGGATCCTGATGGTATGTTATCAGGAGCCTGGGTAACTTAGTTCTAACACACGAGTTCCTCCTTCTTTGGACTTCTAACTTTCTTCCTGGCTGATATTTATCTCTATAGGAGACTTACTGACTTCTTTTGTCCTCATGGGGCTATAAGCGCTGATACTTCTAGGGAAGCCAGAAATCATGTGTGCGACAGTTAAACCTTTTGGGGTACTTGCCAGAGGCCACAGGGAAATCAATTTGATCTACAAAGAAGGGTAATTATGGGAACAGACACCCCAACTCTCACTAAGACTCTCAGTAACACCTTCTATTTATTGCAATCTGATCTCGGACTTAGGAAATTAGACTAGCTCCCTTCCTGCCCTCCCTAGTGATCCTTGGCCCCCACCACAGGGCAGGAATGAGACTCAAATTCAAAGATTTATTGACAGCCTACTCTTTGCCAAACAACTTTTCCAGGTATAGGACACAAGAGCACCACAACAGCTCCACAAAGATGAAATTATTATCCTTGTTTTGGAAGTGAAGCAACTGAGAGTCATAGAGGTAAAGTGACTTTTCCAACATCACACCCCTAAGAAGAGGTGTCTGCAGAATCTGAACGAAGTACACAGAATCCGGACACAGTAACAAAGGCCAACACTTACTGCTTAATAGTCCGTGAACTGGCTTTCTTGAGGGTGATGTTTCCTGTGGACTCAGTAGCTGCTGGAAGGCCTGAGACACAAGCCCATACATCTCTGCTACCTACCAACTACGATACTATCCTGGGTGTCAATTCTACTTTTGCTCTTGGCAAAGAGCCACATAAGGTTCCTCCAGGCCAGATGCCACATGGAATTGGACTGTGAGTTCGAAAGCACTAAGCCAGCAGGCACTGGTGGTATTGATCTCAGAGCCAAGATGAAAATATGATGATGTTGGGGGGAAAAATGATAGTGCTTACTCTGCTTTAAGTGCTTGCATCGACCTACTTCCCTACTCTATTTTCGAGTAGAGAGAACTAGATCAACAGAGGATATGCAAAATCTTCTGAGGTTCCTCTAAGTAGCAAAACATTACAGAAATTATAATAACTGATTCAATGCATTCTTATTATTGTTATTAACTCCAGGATGTAAGTTTTTATGAAGCCCAGGGAATGAAGGCTTCTTTTTGGAGAATGCAAACAAAATAAATGATATTTCTATTATTTTATCTTGTTCTTTGGACAGCAACTTTCTGTATTATATCTCCTTTATCTATAGAAAAGAAAGAATAACAAACTTACAAACTGGGTATGAGAAATCCCAAGTGGCTATAAATAATTTTATAAAAGTTGAAAAAAAGGAAATAAAATGCCACTGTCAGAAGATATACCAACCTGAAAACAACACAAAAGGATGCCTTGTGTTGGAAAAATTTTGGATTAAATTAGCTAATCTCTTTGGTTGTT